CTAATAATAAACATGTAATGAAAATATTTATTTAAAAAAAGATATGAAAAATCGATCTTTGAAATTAAGTTATTTTTGACTAATTAATGAAGAATGTTCAAGAAGGCGATCATTAATTTGTTGAATTGTTCTTGAATGTATTTGTTAAAAAATAACTGAAATATTTTGAGTTTTAAATCGTCCATATGAATTGAGCTATAAAATTAGAGCTAAACGCTAATCTTGTTGCGTTTAAGTTATTGCATTGTTGCGTTATTTTTCAAAACGACTCACTGGCCAAACGTGGTTTTCACACCTACAATAATAGGCTATGCAAGTGTTAGTATGAAAAACCACGGTGCATACATTACGCAGTATCCAGAAATTCGCTGTGGGGTCTTAAATTAAAAAAAAACATTTGGCGACATTTTGCTTGTTTATCAAACAATTTTAAACAAATTTTGCTGTTAAAACCAGTTGTAAAACATTTAACTTCATTTTATTGTTGCAGGAGCTAAAATAGTTTTCGTTCAACGAGTTGAATACAATATTAATAATAAAATTTGTTGTTGCCTGTACCTACTACGTATTATTAGTGTTAGACGTCAGCCATGGTGTAAAACATCCATTATAACCAAGGAAGGAATGACAACCTTAGTGTCATCTATGTTTTATTTTTTATCTTCCAGACTCAGGCACTTGTTAATTCATGTAAACAGTCGATACCGGATGATACCAAATCATTTTTGGTAATATTGAGGTCACCATTCAATGATTGTAACCGTTATGCTTTTGGTTAACTTTAAACCATGGAACTTTGAACACATCTCTCCATTGTACGCTATACTGGGGCCAAGAGGAGCAGTGATGTCATGCACCCATTAAAATTGATGCTATATGGTACTCCTGCGGCTGATCGTTTGCAACGTAAAATTAGTGTAATGACGTAAATGCTCAGATCAAACGTTTGGTTTCATTTAACTTTCTCTATGTAATTCAATTTGAAGTGGTTGGGCTCGAATAAGACAAAAGGATCCCCGCCTATCAATTGTTTCATGGGTGATGCTTCGTTTAGCATGTATTCCTATACGAGGTTTGTGCTTCGTTGATTTCTTTGAACCTAGGAAGAGTATAATAAATCTTTTTTTAATGCTTCGAATGAAATAAAAATTAAAATAAAGTCTACAAAATTTTGCACACGTCTGAGTATGTAAATCATATATATTAATAAATGTGATTTATTTGAAGTAAATCATTATATTATGAATATATTCATTTATATATGTATATATATTTATATACAATACAGTATACAGAATATAAGTATCAAGCGTATACTTAAATATCAAAGTATAAAACAAAATAAACGAACAGGAGCATCCTATTTGTTACTGAAGTTAATTTTTAAATTTAGGGGCGATGAAAAACAAGTTTCGATTTAAATTTTGTTTCGATCACAAGTTATTCGAATTCCAATTGAGTTAGTTAACTTTTTTTATTAGGGAATTTTTTTTTAATTTTTTTTTGTTTTATTTTCATACTAAAACAAAATTAATTTATTATGTTTATTATTATATATATACTATAGAAATAATTTTTTGCTGTGTGTCTGTGGTCTGAATGAAGTGTGGTGTGTGTAGTAAGTAAATGTAGTAGAGTGTAGTGTAGACTGTTGAGTTATAGTGGTGTGGTAATCTGTAGTTTGTAGTGTGTTTGTGTGTGTGTGTGTGTGTTGTGTATTTAACTGTGAGTTTAGCATTTAGTATGTTTAGTTAGTAATAAATAGTTAAAAATCTCTAATTTAATTCATGCAAATCCTACAGTGGTCTTCTTGACTGATCCAAATAATCTGATGTTTTAATTAACTTACTCTTATTGTTTGATTGGTTTTAAATTTTGATGCTTGGTAACTTTTTTAAAGAGAGTTTTTTAAGGGTTATTTCCTGATGTGATGTGGTTGAAGATCCGTTAAGGACAAGGTTAAACAAACAGATAAACTTGAAACAGAAAATAGAAATTATTTAAATTAAAAGAAAGTTCTCATAAAACAAAAATATGAAAAATAAGAAAATATGAAAAGAGCAAGATAGATAAGTATTATATTATGTTGTATTGTTGTTGATTAGGTGGGTGGTGACCATTGTATATAAATAATTTAATATTATAACTATCAAGTCACCACTCAATCATCATATCAGGAGAAGACCTTTATCACAAGACACCTCAAACATATTAGAACTCAATAAAACTTTATCATTTACTCAATCTAGTTTTCCTTTTATTTTTCTATCACCTCACTAACTCACTAAGTCATTATCTAGTCCATCAGTAAATTACTTAATTTTATTTCAATACTTTTCATGTCTAAACATTTTTATCTCTGTTATTTATTTATATATTTATTTATTTATTCATTTACATTTAATACAACTGCCTTGCATGCTGTAACAGTTTCTGCATCTGTCAGATCCTGATTTTTTAAAGAATAATAAAAAAAATATATGTACGGTGAATATATATGAACATTTAATAAATGTTGAAATCCATAATGCATAATATGTTGTTACATATGCCTGTCATATGATCGATGGACAAATAAACAAAGGAAGAAAGTTTAGTAGACAAATTCACAATCTATTTCTCTTATTGAGTTTGGATGTTGTTGGTTAAGCATATATATTCATATGCTTACTCTTATGCATGCCAAAGGAACATTTGCTTAGTATTGATTTTTATTATTGTTGTTATCATTATTATCAATTCAATTCATTCTCAAACAGCTCTTTGAGGTGATAAAATCATAACAAACATAAATAAATGATGAAAGTGAGTAAAACTTACATTGAACATTTTTTGAACTTTTTATGTGATACAATACAAACAAATGGATTTTAAATCATCGTGCTGAAATTAATCAGAGAAACATCCACTTACTGAAAAAAGTAAAAAAAAAATTTTTTTCTGTCAGTGTTATGAAATGACCAATTCAACATTGTGAAGGCAAGCAAACATATGATAAATGTAAGGAATTTTTCAAATAAAAGTTTGTTTACAAACTTTTCCTTCTTCTCTGGCTTCGGCTTGAAGAGTTTTATTGTTTTGTCATAGAATACACTCCTGTGCTAAAGCAGGGGTTCCCAACTTTTTTTTTTGTTGTACCCCCAAGTTAAAATGTTATTTGCGTACGTACCCCCATCAGACAAAAATTTCTCAGAAACTTTATTTTTTTAGTAATTTAGCTATTTTAGTAAATTTTGGTTGTTTTAGTGCAGTCACTTTAGTGACAGTCCTATCTGCTTATACATTTTACTAAATTTATTATAATATTAATATTATATTAAAATTATTATGGTTTCATGCCAAAATTAATTTAATCGAAAACGTTGTTATTTTTATTTTTGTAATCTTTTTGAAAAACATGAAAATATAGTCCTGCTAATAATAATTATCATGCTAATAAAAACATAATAGTCATAGTTTTCTGCTAAAACAAAGAGTCAGAGAGTTCCGCTCATTGTCACAATAAAAGTATAATCATGTTAATGTGAGCACTGGGCTTGCTTAGATTTGCACAATTCTGCAATGTCCGGTTTTATTATTATTATTATCATTATTATTATTATGAGAAAAAACATGGGCGAAGACAAAATGTCCCTATGCCCGCGACACAAAATTAACTATAAAATTTTAACACATAAACAATAGTGTACATGAATATATGCTAATATGTTCTGTTCATACATAAAGATCAAACAAAAAATAAATAAATAAACAAAAATATAAGAGAATAACTTCGATTATTAATTCAACTTTATATATATATATATACATAGGCGGCGAGTTGTTCAAATTATTGGGGGGGCTCAAAAGTTACCGAAATTTTAGTTTTTATTATTATTATTAGTCAAATTGTAATTCAAACTTATTTTTAATTTTTAATCAATTTAAAAGTCAAACATTTAAACAATATAATGCAAAACAATGTAAAGTAAAATTCTATTTTTAAATATCCCGAACATTAAAGAATCTAGTGAACAGTTTAAACAATATAATGTAAATAGTGAAATTCTATTTTTAAATATCCCGAACATTAACAAAATCTAGTTTAATGCAGTCATGTTCCAAACGATTTTCTGCGCAAATCATTCCGAGAAGTGAATTCTTTGTACAAGTCTTCAATTGAAAGATTGTGGGTGCGTTCTTTATAGCAATGTAGTATGGCCAAATGATTTAATCTTTGCTGGCTGGTTGTTGAACGTAAATAAGTTTTTAAGCGCCGAAGGACAGAAAACGATCTTTCTGAGCTGCATGTGGTCACAGGAATTGTAAGAAATATTTTAATAAGTCGAGAAAGTTCTTCAAGCATTTCATTCAAACCGTGTCCGTTTGTATCTTTTAAAACGTTGACAATGTCTGTGACTGAGGTAATAGATATATTTCGTTGCTTACAAATATCGCGAAACATGTTGAAATGTAAATGCAGTCTGTCCTTTGACACAATTGGATATAATTCAGCAATATAATTTAAATGACTGCTGTCAGTTGTTGCTGCATGTAAAATTTTTGATTCCAAATCGGCAAGTTTTTTGAAACCATCAGAATTGAATCTAGCGTCAAGTGAAGAGATAGCAGCATCTACGATCTCTAAATACATTTTTTTTAAAAATAATTGCGAAGTGTCAAATACATGAACATTTTCGTTATTATCAGTAAAACGCTTCGGACGATTTCGCTGCCGTGGCAAACTTGGATCTTCAATATTTAATATTTTTGCATCATTAGTGGTATTTAACCAAAAAGACGAAAAGGTTTCATCGGATCGGTTCTGATGAAGCGATAACATTAGATTTTCTACGAGTT